ATCTCTTCCTTTTGAGAGGAGACAGTCGTTGGGCATCTCCAACACCCTTGTAGCTTGGTCGCCTTCAGGAGTGTTCAGGAACTGGATCTGTGGTTCCATTCACTCACTTCCCAAGGAAAAGGCATCTGACTTGTGTGTGCCCATAGAAGATTGACATCGGCTCATTTTCTTCTCTTCTCGGCCATCTGGATAAATTCTGAGTCTCTATAGGTTCAGGTTCTCAATTCTTCTGCCATGTCTGCAATGAGCATCTGAATTGGTTATCCACAAATTGCTGCGTAAAGCTTCTCCTTTTTCTGGGTGCATAAATAGTACGACTTCAACTCTGTATCCAAGGAATTCATCAAAACCCTTTAGTCTTCTGTGGTACCTACTGGGATAATTTCTCGTGTTCTTCCCATTTGTTCGGACTTCATTTCCTGTTTTGTCGTAGACACAGCGGTTTGATATTGTCTTCTCCGTCTGACGTGAGCTTGAGCCCCTGTTGAGCTTACAGGGGAAAAGCCTGTAACTTTCCGGGCATTTGTTTCTGCTTCATTGGGGTCTCGCTTCTCGGTGGCTTTGTTCGAGGTGTGTGATGTAGAACAACGGGCCCAAATTCAAAACCATAATCTCCTCCATGTTCTTGGCTTGCGATTCGAGAGTCGCTGGCATCAGTGTAGTGTTGACGTGATTTGGTGATTTATGCCACATGACACAAATTTTATTGGCTGTGACAACTGTCTCGGTGCTAAAATGTATGTGGAGGATTCTGGGGTAAACCTGACAGCTTTGCCTTAGTTGAGCATGTTTACTTTTGAGTATACTTTCATCTTCCACGTCCTTTCCGTTTCCAAATTACGGATTATTCACTTGTGGTGTTTCTTTTTTTTTGAAAATTGAAATCCATGGGAACCTTATCCGATTTTTGACGTCCTATTTTTTTGCGCAATTTTTTTGTTGGTGAAATCTTCAAAAGACACATTGCTCCAGAGGGACAAAGTTATGACTAGCTGAAAGGCATACTCAGTTAACTACACGACCTATCAATCGGGTTAAATCCTATATTAACTTTTGGATCATCGATTACATATATCAGCTCATCTACTTCCGTCGTAGGTTCATTGCACCTCACTTTTCCATATTTCTGCAAGAAGATCTTGAGGCTTGATGGACTCACAAATTTGGTTCTCACCGACTCTAGAGCAAATGGTCCAATTTTCCCGCACTAAAAATTGATTCAGAAAGCCAGAGCAGCAGTACCTATCTAAAACCCAAAAATCTGTCTAGACTTACCTATTAACAAAACGTGGCACTCCAATAAGCAATTCACACAAAAATGGAAGCCAACAATTAGATTAAAAAAAAATTAAAATATAATATTTATATTTAAAAAAAAACAGATAAGATAAGATTTATCAGGTAAAAACTTAGTTAAGATATAATAATTTGAATATTGAATCTATAAGGAAGGATCCAGAAATTCCAAGCACAAAATTATTTAAAAAGAAAGAGGATTTGCCTGCCAGAGTCGCTTTCAAGAAGAGGTCGTTTTAGAAACCCCAGCTAGCAGGAAAACGATCCTGTGTTTTTTATACTTACTGCATTCCAACCAGCTTCAACCAATCAGACGAGCACACCCAAAAGACCATATTCACTTCAAAATGAAAACACAATGAAAGACCGCATGGAATAAAACAGAATGGATAAAAATCCACTAAAATTATTTTAATTGTTTACAAATTATAATAATTTAAATTAAGGTTACGTCAAAAATAAAAAACTGTTAATTAATTAGATCATTAAGCCAAAAAATGATTATTTCAGAATCAGAAGTTAGAAAAGGACAGAAATATATGCATTTTTTGCTGAAAGTGAGATAAATATATTTTCTTTCAATGAAAATACAAATGCGTGTCAAATGCGAATTTAAAAATCATACTTTAAAATATAGATCATCGGGCACTAGATGGTAGTACTGAAAAATTAATTCTCGATACTTGCATTTTACGCAAATGTGGATAGATCGCAGCACTTTATTTGAATTTGAATTTGAATTTTGTGGATATTATTTGGCTGATTTTAAAATGGAAAAAATACGACTTTATAATGAAAATAAGAAGAGATGGAACATGTTACGTAAATGATAAATTTATCGTAACAAGTTATCTCAAGATGTTTTCTGTCGTTCTTGAGTCAAGTCTGATGTGAATTTCCAGCGATGGAACTTCTGTACTGGATTCTACAATCGACGATGTCAATTGAACCAAGTCAGCAGCCAGTGAGCATCGTCTTCTTAGAATTTTTACCGGCTTTCCTGGTGGAATTCATCTTAATCATCTTGGCATCTCTCACCTGAAAAGAACTACTTTGGGTATTTCAAAGACGCCACTGAGAGTATTCCAGGATACGTTTGGGGAATGAGCAGGAACTGAATCTGAAGTTCTCTACGTACTTGGGGCACGTCTCAAGGAATGTGCATCGGTTGTGTTTAAATGCTGCGCATTGATGGGGTAGCATTGACGAAACTATTTATTAAATCTGATTCTCCTCTTTTCTGGGACATCCATCAAGCCTAAAGAATTTTTTGATTCTCCATAGCCTCACATGGCCAGTGTAGGCAAAGAAGAGCAGCATCAGTCCATTTTCCAAATTCTGGCTTCTGTACCGTATGGGTTTCTTGGGTATCTTAGAACCACGAAATAATCGGTAATATTTTGCTGTTATCTTTGACAAAAATTTCCAATCGTGGCTCCAGATCTCGATTTTTCCATTCTACCATGTTACATTCCGGATGATAAAAAGGCGCCAGTGATTGCTGAATTCCCATAATATGACAAACTTGTTGCGTAACAGTTGAAACAAATTGAACCATATCACTTGTCATTCGGCGTGGTATTCCATAACGAAGAAAAACTTCTTCCACCAGTTTTCGTGCACAATCTTCTGAGGTAGCGGTCTTAAGAGCAAACAACTCGATCCATTTTGTTGAGGCATCTTCTGCAATCAGTATCCATTCTTAGATTCAGGCAAAGGTCCAAAAGGTCCACAGCTACAATCTCAAACCTTTGAGCGTATGGTGGAGTTTGCAACAACCCAGCTGGTTTCTGATTCGTTGCCTTGTACCTTTGACAGTCAGGACAGTTTTCAACATCGTCTCATGCCAGTAAAATAGAACTTTCTTGCAACTCGTTTAAATGTTAGCTCGATTCCATATGGGCTGTAGTGGGACTATCATAATCTTCGTACATTATCCTCTCTCGTTCATGTGTTGGGACAACTAACTGCGCTTCTTCACCTCCTTCCTCCCAGGAATATCTATATATAACACACCATTCATTGGGATGAAACCGAGATCTTTCCACTGAGCCATGGTGTTATCTTAATTGTTCTCAAAAGAGTTTATAATTTCAACAAGTTCGGGATCCTTCATCTCGTTCAGTTGTAGTTTAATTTCGCTCAGCTGGCAGTAACAACCTGGACGCATATGCCACAACATGTGGTCCTTCTCCTTGAAGCAATATGGCCCCAATTCCATACGAACTGGTATCTGTTCTAATCATAAATGACTTAGAAAAGCAAAAATCGAAACGTCTATGAGTCCACGGCGAAAAACGTCCATTAAACGCTGGAAAGTCGCCGGAGCGTTATTCGATCCGAATGGCATACGTAAATAGCGGAACGTTCCAAATGGAGTGGTGAAAGCAGTCTTATCGCGATCACACTCGCGGACACTAATCTGGTGATGACCACCAAAACAACAATCACACACCCTAGATTAACAATAATATTCGGCGAGTTTTTGAGGTTGACGTGTGTCTCATCTGGGGCGTTCCGTTCGAGTGTCACTCGCTTTTAAGGGGTGATTTGGAATTTCGTTACACTTCGCAATTCTTCTGCATCTCAATTGGCGATCCACGGAGTACAGCTTACAGCTTCTTCTCTTCTTAAAGCTGGTATTTGAAGTACCTACGATTTTTTCTCGACATGCAGAAACTTGATCAAAGTCTTCTTCTGTGACGCTGATTACAAATGATGAATGTAAAAATGAAGTGCCGTGTCTGTAAGTATAGAAAGCGAGAGTTGTATAGAAACATGATTTCAACCGTTTGTACCAACTCTGATTGTTGGTTTATTCCGAATGTCTTCTTGACGATTCGTTTGTTGTCTATGTGGTTTTTTCCGCTTCCTGTAATGATCGGTTTGTATCTTGTATCTATGATAGTGAGTCATCAATAGGTCTTCTTAGACTTGTTGATTTTGGTATCAGGATCCATTTCAAGTCTCTCAAGGTTATTAAAAATTCATTTTCAAGGTGTGGTATCCCATCCCGGAGCTTCCCACAATATGTCTTTAGCTACTACTGTAGTATAGCTATCTTTATTTTCTCTCTAATAAATTTTTAGTTTCTATAACGGTTTTTTAAATAGGTATTCAATTCTGGAAAAATTGATATGTCATCAAAACCCAGATCATATCTCTCTGAAAATAAATTAGCCGAAAATTTGTTCGTGCATGCATAATTCCAGAGAGACTATTATTTGGAGCATGTATAAGCATAGAAACTAAACACTGACATCTTGATCGCTTTTTAATGACTACGCCACTGTGTCGAATTGTTGGTTTTGATAATTGTCGGTCATTAAGTCGAGTATAATTTACATTGTCATTACATGCATGATTCCCTGTCTGATTAAGATCTTATTGTGAGCAGTGGCCAAACATTAATGTTTGGACAAAAATAAGTTCCGTAGGAATTAAACAATTTTTGGGATATTTAGGCGGTCGGTTTCCGCCACTTTTGCGTAATTACTCAACACAAATTAATGATACAAAACGGACTAGAAAGGTTGGTTTGTGGGGCGAGTTTAATTGTCTTTGAAAACTGTAATTTGATTGACATCTAATGTTCTTTTGGTAACTTCCAAAGTTGATAACCTAATAATTGTTGGCAGTTCAATTTTATCAGATTTTAATCAACCTATAATTGTTAAAAAATATTACCTACATTTTCTTTCCAGATAAATTTATAGATGCTTCCTCTACATCAGTACCTTCACCTCCAGAAGCAGGTAACTTAAGTTGTACGTCAATAGCCACAGATGTAGAAAGCGGTAGAGATTCGCCTGTGGATGTTTCCTCAACTTCAGAATCAAGTACGCCGACGCAATCAAATGGAGAAACTAGGTAAATTTCTCTTATATTTTATTCCACCTTGTACAGAAAATGAAGAAAATTAAATTAAACCTTTTCAATCAAAATTATGACATGTGTATGATGCATCTCATAAGAATTATCAAAGATAACAAGATAATGATTAAGGAAGGCAATTAATGTTATTATTATATAATATACATTGTTGTTAAAAGTATGCGTGATTTTTAATACTTACATTTTTAAAGTAATTATTCAAATGAATATTCCACATTTTTCTTGCAAAAAAAAAAGATAGCATACATATACCTTGAATACATTGTTGGATAGGTACCTGTATTGCAAAACGGAAAAGTATTTAAATTTTTAATTTCAGACAGCATTAACTTGAACTTTAAGGAACTTCAACCTAAAGTCTAGAATGTGGATTTCATCAGAAAATTATGTACTATTAGCTTCAGTATGTCTAGAGTCAAAACATTTAAAAAAGTTAACGTTAGGAAAATTATATAATAGTAAATAGTTCGTATCTACTATGTAACAGATTAGCTGCATTATTCTATTATGTAGGATATAATCGTAACTGTCATGAGGTAAAAAAGATACACATAAATAACTAACAATAATTCGCAGCTGTCATTTAAAAACAAATTTATGATTAAATTTAACAACCTCAGAAAATATTAACAAAAATGCATCTATGAACATTAAATTGTTTTATTTCAAAACTTATCTGCAAAAAAGTAAAGTTACTCATAGTAGGCATAGTCAGCATAAGCAAGGACTTTTTTGTCGCTGCTGACAGATGTATAAACAATTTACGACTTTTAAATACCTACTATTAGACTGACGGAATCTAAAATGGGCAGGTATGCATTATGAATTTGTCGAGTTTTATATAACTACCAAAAAACATGTACCTATAGTCCGTTGCATGGTTCTTGAGCTACGACTACTGAATAGACAGAAAAACCAATGGGCTATTGCTGCGTTGTCATATCAATAATAATATTTATTATTGTATGAAAATGAAGGAAATTTTATTGCAATTTTCATGTATTAATAAATATTATCGATATGACAATTGACAACGCAGCAATAGCCCATTGTCCCCTCGGTAGCGTCTTTCGAGGAGCCTGTTACCCTCCCGTGGTAAGTTATTTTTAATTTTTTTAAAGTAATAGGAATGCGTCTATTAGTTAGGGTCTTTCCAGGAGACCGTTCGCAACGAGCCTATTTCCAACGAACCCCATTTAAGTGGAGCCCCATCTTTCTATGCAGATCGTTTAGTTACCATGAGCATAGAGCTAATGGAGTGATTTCCTAGAGGAATCAATTCCCTCTCGTGTCGACACCTGTCTTTCAAAATTTGATGAAAACTGTGAACTTCTAGCCTATATCTACCCTAATTCAAGACTAGAGTCTGTAATTTCCACGGGCACAATCAACAGAAAATGGCGACATAACAGACAAGTGATCAAACATATCCTGAAAAAACGACCTGGAATGTTGATCCTGGCCTGGGGGCAGCCATCTTCCGAAGTCAAATATCGACTACCATTCTCGTGGTCAAAAAGTACCTTATCGGCCATCAGGCACTAGTTCGATGAAATAAAGTTGCGTGAGAAGGAAATGTTCCGTTAATTACCGGAAATTTTTATATCGAAAGTCTTGTGATTACCGTTTCATTTGAGTTTGGATTTCGAACCCCTTCGTGGTAAGTTCTTTTTAAATTTTTTGATGTAATGGTTGCTCATGGAAATGCTTCTATTACTTAGCCAACATAATGAAGATTTTTTGATGAAGGTCGGCTTCCCGTCGGATATTGTCACTCGTACTAGAGGACCTTTTTCAAAAACGGTATCGCTTTCTTCTGGCATCAGCCTTAGTGAGAAATCCTCCGAAGGTGTCAGGGATGTCCTGGATGGTGATAACCTCGGTGATATCGTATCCAAAATCTTGCAGTTGTGATCTATATCAGTTCAATATCATTTTCTATTGCAGTTGACTCTGTTTATCTTCTTTCTGGAACTTGCATTCCCAGAGTCTCAGCGAGCTAACGTCAAGCTGTAGCGCATCTTGTAACGTTATTTCCACACTGGCCTACTTGAAGTCATCTGATAAGATTTTTGAAGTCGGGCAAAACATTTGACTCTTCCATTGCTTTTTTTCTTCTCTAGAAAAACTTAAAAAAATTCTTTTAGATCATCCATAGTATTTATTACGATTTTTTCCAGCCTACGAATAATTTCCCTTATACTGAAGTTAACCATAGTTGAATATGTCGTTTTGACGTAGTCATAGACCTTGTTGCTCTGAATGTCTTGTCTCTTTTCGCACGTCTGACTACTATAAAGGCCAGGAAGGAACATATCATTTGTCAGATTTGGATTTTCACGGAAATTGGTAGAAATATTGATGAGAGCAAATTGCCTTAGCATCTTCACTTCCTGGCATACTTTCAAGCCACTGGATTACTGATTCAGAACACATCTTTTGTGCAGACTGGAAGCACATCTTATCTTCCCTTTTCAAATTCGAGATTGTTAACAAATGTTTGTCCTTTGAAAAATTTGAGATAAGCAGGTCCATATGCGCAGGTCCTGTAGTTGAAACCGCTTTAGGATTAAGAAATCTTGTGCGCAGTTTTGTTGCGATATGTACAGTATCCTGGCCTGTACATAGGAGATGTTATTCCTGTTGTTTCCTGCCTGATACCATTTAAATGTATACCTTGTTCTGCCAGTAATCTGTGTTTGAAGCGCTAGTGAAAGTGAAGCATGCATTGCTTTTAATAGGCGAGTATCGCCATCACTGGAGAAATCTAGTAACGTTATGGCCCGCCTTTCCAAGTTTTCTTTCATATGTTTCCATCTTTTTTGAGACATCGTTGGAATAAAAGTAATAAAACCTATTATCTGTTCCAAAAAGAACGACACAATAAGGTGCAGATTTTGGTGGCAGAAATCTACTGAAATTCACGAATATCCATGGACATCCACAGATTTCCAGTGAGATCAACGGATATCTAGTGGAATACTATGGACATTCACAAGAATTATAGAAATCCATGGAAATCTACACGGGTGTACACCAGAAATCCACAGCTGTTGACCCCTCGATGCAAATCGCTTTGCTGGAACATGAGCATAGAGCTAATGGAGTGATTTCCTAGAGGAAACAATTCCATCACGTGTCGACACCAATGCCTGAAAATTTAATGAAAACTGTGGACTTCTAGCCTCTGTCTACCTTGATCCAAGGCTGGAGTCTGCAATTTCCACGGAAATGGGGACATAACAGAGACAAGTGATCAAACAAATCCTGAACAAGATACTTAAGCCAGCGATGTTGTATGCGAGCGAAATATGTGGCGGAAAATCAATCAAAGCAAGACCACTGCTCCTGATGACCTGCAGAGCTTATTCCACCACAGCCAACTGCGCATTGCGGGATTCCCATGCACCTATGGCTTGAAGCCGAAGAAAGAAGGACAATTAGCTAAGATTAAGCAGACCAAATCCGACTACAAAGGGGAGAAAAATAGAAGAGGCAGCACAGGAAACCATGGAGGTCCAGTGTAGGTCCAGACGGAAAAACAGACATTGGCATTTTGTGGATAAAAGAAAGCCAGCTATACACGTATAAATTCAAAGCCCCGGACCACATGAGAAACGATAGAGCCGAACTAACAACAATCCTGAAGGGACTGCAGTCCATATATTATTTTATAAATTAAATTGCTGCCTTGAATGTTGACCGTCTGGTGACCGCCACAATTAACGGAAGGTTTCTGCGGCCAATAATAATAGCAATTATTAGCCTACAGGGCTCGCTTTTCCTTTAAATTTGAAGTCCAGTTTAGTACCAACACTTTCCGTTGGCTATTTTTCGAAGGAAAACTCTGCTTTTTTTAGCTTGTCCTATTTTTCGCCCCTTTCAAATTTTGACTTCGAGCTGAAAGGTTGACCCTGGCCTGAGGGCAGCCATATTCCTAAGTCAAATATCGATTGACGAAATAAAGTTCCGTAAGAAGGTAATGTTCCATTGATTACCGAAGTCTTGTGATTACCGTTTTATTTGAGTTTGAATTTCAAGTTTTTTTCAAATGTAATGGTTGTTTATGGGCATACTTAGGGTCTTTCGAGAGGCCTGTCTACAACGAGCCCTATTCCCAACGAACCCCATTTTTCTATGCAGATCGTTTCGCTAGAGCATAAGCATAGAGCTCATGGAGTGATTTCCTAGAGAAATCAAGGACAGATTGGCTGTGTCACAAGGACATTCAACTAGCTAAGATTAAGACCATAGACAGATCACACCCGACAACAAGGGGGACAAAAATAGAAAGGGCAGCACAGGAGATCACAATAGAGATCTATGTGGACGCCAGAGTGTAGGTCCAGACGGAAAAACAGGCATTAGCGTCTTCTGGATAATAAAAGACCAGCAATACAGGTATAAATTCGGAGCCCCGGACCAGATTAGAACCGATAGAGCCGAACTGACAACAATCCGGAAGGGACGGCAGTTAGATGGAACCCAAGAACTGACAAACATGAAAATCATGACGGACATAAAGGAATTCGTAGATAGACTCAATGCGGGAAGGGTGAAAGACAAGTTGGTGGCACACACCCTAAAAACAGCTAAAAGACTGATGAACGAGGAGAGATAAGTAGAATTCGGATGAAGGAAGGGACACAACGGGAAGAACAAAGGCAACAGAGAGGCAGGCGAATTGACAAGACAAGCACAAGAAGAAAAGCAAATACTGGATGACCTTAGGGAATACCAATACACCAACAGACAGACACGCAAAACAAACATGGAACCGCGGATAACAGAAAGAGCCTGGGATCTAAAACCTAGAGACAGGGAACTATACAGACACTCTGCTGAAGTGGGAACGGGCAGGATAGACCTAGGTTTTAAAGAAACGCAACTGGTTACTGGCCATGAGAACTTCCAGCAGTACACATACATTGCTTCAATTTGAAGGATGTAGATGGCAAATGACGATGTATCTGACATGCAGTAACACAAGTAAGGAAAAACAACGTTGAATATAGCATAAATCTAGATTTAAGGAAGAAGTATAGATTGAGGGCTTGCACCTCAACAATAGATAAATAAAAGAGTCTCACCTCGCTAATGATTCATGATCGGAGCTGAATGTAGGGGTTTCGAATCTTGAAACAGGTGTTGTCTTGACAGTGGTTTTGTTACCTAGGCAATAGGGAGGCTATGCGAAAGGGAACATAAGGGATGAAGTGTTGTCAACCAATCCACTCCACCCTAATCAACATGCACACACCCCTGTGACTCCTGTGAGATCAACGGACCGGAGCTCCTCCTGGGGCTGACAATGTCGGCGGCCAAAAATATGTTACGATTGGCTGCAATTTATTCAAGGAACTGCTAAGCTACCCAGACAAAGCTGCAGCGGGTCAGGAAAAGGCTACGCTTGATAACGGGCATCTTGACTGGCCACTGCCAGTTAAACAAACATTTTAAAGATAATAGGGAAAAGAAGTCCAAGCAAAACGCCAGCAAATATTTGCATGGATGATGGATCATATACAAAGAGGGAGGAAGAGACAAACAGATATTTATTAGATAAATACTTCCCAGAACAAGAGAGCGACAGCATGAGAAACAGAAGAAACAGACCAAAAACATACAATACAGTGAACGAGAGAGACGTAAACAGAACCGCGTTAGAGGACGTCATTGCAGGGCTAAAGGCAAAGAAAGCCACAAGCACGGACAAAATCCCGAACGAGACCATGGAGCACATTTACAGGGCAACACCCCTAACTCTCCTGAAAATTTACAAGGAATGCCCGAAGAGAGTATACTTTCCCAAAATATGGAAAAAAGCCACAATAATAGGGATCCCCAAAAAAGATGGCACCCCAAGATCGATAAATATACTTCCTACGCTGGTCAGGTACTGGACAAACTAGTGAATAAAAGGTTACAACTTCACGTTAAAAGGACCAACAACATAGACCCCCGACAATACGAGTTCAGGGAGAGTACCGGCACTGTTGAAACGTTCGACCTGTAAGGTTGATCTTGGCCTGGGGGCAGCCATCTTCCTAAGTCAAATATCGATTACCATTTTCGTGGAAAAAAGTACCTTACCGGCCATCAGGCACTAGTTTGACGGAATAAAGTTGCGTAAGAAGGCAATGTTCCGTACCGAAAAATTTTATATCGCATATAAAGCAACCCAACTGGTTACTGGCCACGGGAATTTCTAGCACTACATACATCGCTTCAATTTGAAGCATGTAGATGGGAAATGCGATTGCGGGCTGGATGCCCCTGAGGATGCACAACATGTGCGAGAGCCGTGCGGCATAACAAGTAGATTTAAGAACACGTACATAGATTAAGGGAAACAACTAGAATAAGACAGAAAATAGAGGATTAGGATAAGAAAAAACAACGTAGAACTAAGAATAAATCTAGATATGAGGAAGAAGTAGAAGGGCATGCACGCAAACAATAGATGAATAGAAGAGATATTAGCATGCATACCATTATCACGACACCAAGTCACAAATATGTGGATATCCTGCAAGGCAATGCAGTTGTTAAGATCGGATATTACTCTATACATTTTTAGATCGTCTGCAAACAGAAGCAACTCCGAAGACTGAAAGCAGGAGGCAACATCATTGATGAAGATATTGGAAAAAAGTGGTCCGATGTGGGACCCCAGACAGCACAGGAATTTCATTAGACAAGAAATTGTTAATTTTTAAAATTTGAATCCTATTCGAAAGGTAGCTGCCTAGCCAGCAGAGTTAGGTTTCATTTATACCCATCGTTTTAAGTTTGTCTATCAGTACATTATGTGGAACCTTATCAAAACCGCTCCACTGTCCAAGGCCTGCCATACAAACTGAGAATAGGTAAGGAGATTAAGTTTAGTATTCCTACCCACACAGAAGCCAAACTGCTGGTTATTGATTTCAGGAGACAATAGTGAGCTTAGATTACAAGGTTTTCGAAAATTTTAGGAATGGTATTGAGGATGCAAATCGGCCAGTAATTTTTTTGTAGGATTTGTCTCCAGATTTATGTATTGGGACGAAAAAATTTGTTTTCCAGAATTTGGGAAAAGATCCACTTTCCGAAGATTTAGTGAATATAATATGTAGAGGCCTAGTGAGAATAAAAGGACAGTTTTCAAGAACATTATCAGGACCCGGACCCGGACTCTTGTGAGGATTCAAGCTAATAATCTCAGAGTGTATATGTCACATATGGAAATGGAGTAATTGTGGCCATTAATATGATTTAATAAAAACTTTCGATTGGATTGTGGGTTACAGGTAGAATAAACCGAGGCAAAATAACCTGCAAATAAGTTCGCAGCATCAGGACCCATGAATGCAAGAGTGAGTAGATTAGGTATCTCAGGCGCATTGCGTTTAGAGTTACAGAAATTCCAAAATGGTGTTCGATTACTAGAAAGGTCATTTTCAGTGTTTTGGACAAAACTCCTATAACATTCCCGGGAAAGGACTGCACACTGTGATCTTAGGCAAAAACTTCATAGTCATGAGCGGATTTACTGTTTTTGTAATTTTTATGGGCAATCTTCTTTTGTATTGTTAGACTTATAAGATCGCGACTGAACCACCTAGGAAACTTTCCACTGGGTACCTTTTTGACTGGAACAAATAGATCAAAGCAACCATAGACAATATCATAAAATGTGTTTAACATGGAATCTACATCCAGATTGGATTACAAATTATCCCAGCAGAAAGCACCCAAGTAATTGCTTATTGATACAAAGTCTGCAGATATAATGGTCGGAGCTGGGAGTAGGGGTTTCGGATCTTGGAACAGGTGTTGTCTGAACAGTGGTTTTGTTACCTAGTGGGTTCGCACACCGATTCGGACATTGAAACCTATGCCGAAAGGCGGGAAGCATTGATCTCATGATCGGATGTTTGTAATTATTATGGTGTTCTGAAGATTCATCACTTGCACTATCTTCTCTCGATTAAATTTGCTCTTTAAGGCTTTTATGCCAAATTGTGCCCAGATAATCAACATATGAGTTGTCTGTAGAGTGAGTATACCTATTTCACAATAACTATCAATGATATTTTCTACTGCCTACCATTGTAGTCAATAAATCCTTCGAACGGAGGCAGTTCATGATTCATTGGTCATTGGCCATTGGCCTTCCTGACATTGTCCACCAAAATTCTCAACTCATTTCAATACCTTCCCATTTTATTCATTTGATAAATTTTTATAAATATTTCTAAAAATTGTTTTGCATTGCAGGTTACCAACCAAAAACCCTCTGTTACAAGAAAGATGGACCAGTGAAGACCTACGACACGTCACGTGTCACTTAGAAACTAAAGACCTCTGGGATAAGTTTAACGATTTAGGTACCGAAATGATAATCACAAAAACTGGGAGGTAAGCACCTAATTTTAATTAATTTTTGCAAAATTTTAATATATTGACGATAAAACAGGCCCGTTTTATAACCCAATACATGTGCGGTAATAAAATTCGATATTAATGCAGTGCTAGGTGTAACTATAAGTAACACAATACTTATTAATTAATTTTTAATTGTAATTCCAATAACCGTGAAATTGGTAAAAACAATTAAAAAAAAAAACCGAGCAAATAATAAAGTGAGAACTGGTAGCGAGACGTGAAAGAATGGGTGCGTTGGTGGTCTTTATTATGGGTTTCGCCGTAATATTAGACTTTGGCAACACCTTTTTCATGTAGTTGACATTTGAGAAAGGAAAATTAAAACATACATAAAATGAAAAATAATTAAAAATTTAATATGTATATGTAGAAATTGATTAAACAAAAATTCCTTAAGGTAACTGAATATTTTTGGGAAAGGACTTGTTGTAAATGACCTTATGAAATGGCGCCAACTAATGGTTCACACCTAAACTAATTTTATTAGACCCACAAAGATTTATATAGCGATCATTAATTTCATCGAACACCCTGAGTATCGATTAGGGCTTTTTCTACCTGACAACGCGCCGCATGCCTTCTGTCTTACAATCATTTGAAACGACTTAATCGTTATTCGAAAATTAATTTGAAATCGTACTTAATTAGTTCCTATCTAAATTTATTGAATTGTTTCTCAGGTAGGCATAGTTAAGTTCTTTTAGGAGCGATAAAAATTAACCTGTGAGTCCGTGGCTATTTGCTGCGAACACTAATAAGTATAGGACTATCGAGAGCAAACAAAATGTGTTTTAATATGATTTATAGATTATAAAAAATATGATCTTCTGATATAATACATTGAAAATGTTGTGGAATTACAAAGAAAACCGACAACTGTATTCTGATACAGAAGATTAGATCAGCAGAAAACCAATGAATTTGAATGGAGAGCATATTAAACAATTTTGAATGGGTAAAAACTGTAAATGAATCAGTCTCCAACACTGAAAAACCAAGAACTTTTAGGAACTTAAAAAAAAGCGGTAGAACTAACTCCTTAACACAATTTTATCTATACAAACATTAAGATACGCTTTTCAACTTTCCACATTTCAAATTATTCGAATATGCAAGCTCTAACTCAAGAAGTTTTATTAACGTCGACCACACACTGGGCACAAATTTTTAATTAACTACTTCATTTCCTAATTTTCGTGACCATAATTCAAGAAAAAAAAGTCGTACCTTTTTGTCATGCAGTGTTGAACTTGATAAGGGAGTATTGTGTTTCATAAGCTCATTTATCCTCAGGACGATGCATATTTAAAACCCCCGATAAAAATCTGAAGTTCTGAAAGGGCGTCCCGCGGCGTAGACCAAGATAATTTGAAGGGGTTATTTTTCCGTTTGACGTCTTATATTTCATAGCTGTTTTTAGAATATTATGCCAAGAAAAATGATAAAATACAGAGCCCAGCTACTTATCTAAGATAATGATCTACAAAATCAGTCGTTAATGTTTAAAAAGCCTTTTTTCAAGTCAAAATTGATTATTAATTTTCAAGTTTTCTTCGAAAAAACACCTGCCCTAGTTTGGGGTGTTGTTTTTGTAGATACTGATAACATCAGTGTTTTGTAAATGAAATACATATATAGAAAATTCAACATTTTGGCTGTATAAATTAATATATTTATATTAAAAAACATAAATCATAATACCTTTGACGTGGCATCCAGAGTCACTGTAGGTATTTAAAATTTGCACAAAAAGTCTCATCAAATCACATATTAAAGACCAATCAAGCCTGATAATTTCCTTCAATTTATAACTAATTTTCGTCGATAAATCAATTAAAATATGCGGCAGGGCAGGGAAGCGACCGCACTTTCAAATTCATTAGTCGGCGCTTTGCTAATAACTGGTTATTTAAAACTAATCTATCAATCTGATAATCAATCAAAATTTTGACGGCCCAGATGCCTGTGCGGTCGCGGTAATTTTTCCTTGAAGAGACAAAAACAAATCTCATCTGAAACTGATTTTTAACATACAGTACTGACCTGAAACGCCAGTGAAAAAAACAGTTCCAGTTTATACTGATATTGCAGTCCGTATATTCTTGGCAGTGCTTGTTCATTTTTCATCTCACCTGCGAGTTTGTTTCGTTTATCATCTTGGTTAACCATGAAATGCAAATTTTGCCCTATAGCTCGGAATAAAGTGGTTCATAGGTTATCAATTCTTTTTCACCTGAATCTTCAATCATCAGTCAGCCTGTATGATTTTTAGTGCATTCACCGCAGCAACTGAACGATAACAGTTTTCAGTTCTATGTATTTTCGGCAAATCTTCGATTATGTATCGATCTTTTGGTTAGTTTGGTAGTCGGTTTCCATTACGATGTGATATTTGATTTAGTTCTACTATTTTGTACTTCTGTCTTTGTTTCTGTTGAATTCTCAAGATATTTTATAGGGCTTGATGTCTTTTTTCCACTATTTTTCCATGTTCTTCCAATTCATTCCCGATTTCGTCGTCAATGCAATAATGTTGAATTTGTTTTGGTTTAAAAATGAGCAATAAATTATAAGGAGTCCATTCCATTATCTAATGACTCGTCTCGTTGCTCCATCGCACTTGTTCATTTCAATCTACTTTAATCCTTTTCTCTACCTGCACTAGCTAACGATGGAGTTATCACTCGGTTAATTATTTCGCATTGCCCCTTAGTTTTGGGTGTTGATGTATTATTCCGAACGTGTAGAATCGTTAAATTCTCACGTGACTCACACGTGCCTTCCATTGATTGGTGAATGCAGTTTCTCAACTGAAACAATTATGTAAGGTTTTCCGATCATATGAAATAAGCCTATTGAAACTTTTGTGGTCTCAGCTGATGTGATTTCCTTCGCTGCTCGAAACGATGTGAATTTGGTAAAAATGTCTACGATTTCCAATATCTATTGGTTGTTCTCTTTGCTCTTCATGAGATACTTAATGTATTATCAATTGATGTTCAAACAGAACTATTTTCATAATCGAATGAAAATACTCTGTCCTTCTTCCTCCTTGGGTGTTGTCATATAAACACGCGATACATTTACCCATATTTCTAGTAATTTCTTATTCTAGCACACCAACAATTTTACATTATCTTCTCTTCATTTTTCAATAGAATGTCGCCAATTGTCTGTATTATTGGATCAACCCTTCGTAATGGACATAACCAATTTTTTTCTGCTAGCCCAGCACATAATTCTCTTTCTGCCATTTCTTGATTTTTTCTTCTCTCAGAGTAGCTTGATCTTTAATGGTCGATAACCTATTCAAAAATGCTTCTTTTTTACATTTGAACTCTTTGGTTCATCCGAAGCCTGTTCAATTTTGGGCAAAACAATCTTCGTACTCATAGAACAATGTCATGTATGTTTGCTTTACTTGGGCGCTACTGGTTCTGCCAATTTGAACATCTCCTTTTTATAGTTTTGAGTTCTCACTTGGATTTACAATTTCTTTTTATGAGATATTTACTGTTATTTCATTTCTCAAATGTGGGTGTTATCGAATGTAATACCACAAGACGTTTCAGGATTACCGGATAATACTTTTACCTGGCACGAAACGCGTTACGCAGCAACACCACGACTCCGAAGGAGGAGTGGTGTTGCTGGTTACGCGTTGAGTGTCAGGAAAAAGTATTAGGTAATCCTGAAACATCGAGTGGTATTCAAAAGGTTATACAACGAACTAAACTTTAATGCTTTATTAATTTTTATTATTATTAATAACAATATTGCCACCAAGCGTGATAATCCCAAAAGGCTTATCACTTTTGAAGCCTCTCGTGTCATATGGGAATAATGTACAGTGAGTTGTATAATCAGAAAAATGCCAGCCATAGATTGAACGATAAACTTGCCCAAGCTTAAACTTGCACAAAACACACATCGTTCAGTATGAGCATGTAATGGCACAAGTTTACAGGGTAGTTATGTTGTAACGATGGCATCCATGGATGAAGCTTTGACGATAGTTGACATATCTTAGTTAGCATTTGGTTCTTTTTTCTTATTCAGTTCGACTAATTTCTTATCTTCCATTTATGGTAATTTTACATCTCACAATTCTATTATCGCTGCCAGTCGTGAATAAGCATAAGACGTCTACATCTTGGATGATGTGTTTTTGATGTGTCAGTATAAAGTTCATTTCGTTTTTTGTCTTTTGATCTGTGCTTGCCCTATGTGAATTTCTTGTAGGGTCTCTTTTAGAACAAAGTGTTCTCCGCAAAGAGTTGTTCTCTTTCCAAGAAGGTTCAATTTTTATCCTGTGCATTCTTTAATAATCTGTACCTAAATTCCCACAGCTTTCTCACCAATGTACAGTCAGCCAAATTAGAGGCTGCATGTCAAAGATAAATACTATATAAACTGTCGAAAATGGAATCTCAGTGTAAATTTTTGTGTCAACAAAATTCAGCGAAGCCAGCGCCATCCACTGTATTGGAATTATTACCATTTAAAAGTTTGCCATCGACGCTACAGACACCTACTTTACATAGGGCTTTAGGGCATTTTTATGATAGATGGCGCCCTGTTCGCATTACTGTCGGGCTTTTCAAATTTGTTTATTCTGGACTCTGGGACTAATTACATCAAAAGACAGTTTTTTTGTCAATGATTAAGGGTATCCTTAACATATTTATTCTAAGCTCCTATTGATGTTTAATCGAACCTGTCATTTATCTAACCAACAAAATAGATCACCCAATCTATAAAGTTTGGAGGTCCTCGTGAAACACACAAAACAACTTTGAAATCACTTAAAAACACTCAACAAAAAGAAAGACGAAATACGAGATCGCCGAACGAAAAAGCTGAACATCAAATAACTTATTTTTGGTCGGCCTATCAGATGGTCAGTACTAAAACAGCGAAAGTGCTGTTTACTGTTGAATCCTAGTCTTAGATGGCGCCACGATCAAATTTCG